TTTTCAAAATATAGATAAATTGATTTATCATATTTTCAACTGGGGGAAAGATTCAATTGTTCTCTGACAGTTGGATTTCATTATTATTATGATTATTATCATACCTGTTTTTATAGAATTGCACAAATCTTAATCCTTCCGACCAGTGTGAGTTGTTGTTCTTTCAACGGACCCCTGACTTTGAGGGTGACGTGGTCTACCATGCACCAATTTAAGCTCTGGCCAAAGAAGTTTTAGTTCTGTAATTACATTAGCCGTAAATTCCCTTCCATTATCACTTGGCAGGATATTTGGAGCTCCCAAAAGTATAAAAAAATGTCAGTGAGTTGGTAAGCCACTTTAGCTGCTCTTTTTGTCTTTAACGGGCGCAGTACACTGAATTTGGTAAAGTGATCCTGGTAGTGCATGATCCACTTATTTTCTTCATCTGGATATGACTGATATTCAACAAGGTCTATCTGACAACAAGAAGTCAAGTCTGTAGAAGTGATAAGACGAACGACTAATTTGGTGGTTTCAGAGCGACGTTTTTTTAAAATACATTATTCACACATCTGAATGAAACTACTGATAATTTCTCTGCTGATATTGGCAAATTGTTTTTTTTTAACTCCTTATAAGTTTTGTTTATGTCTCCATGATCAACTCCAGAATGTGCTGTTCTAATCAGAGGGTAAAGTTCATCAACTGTACAATAATACATAATTTCGTCTCCTTTTCGAATGAGTTTTTCAATTCCTGATACATTCAAAACATCATATTGCATAAAGAAATATCTTTGAAGTGCTGTCTTTTTGGAACTTTATTTGGCTTCCTTTACCTTACTAAAAGTCTCTCTGTAATACTGAATTATTAGAAGATTTATTGTAATCCAACAATTTAATTATATCCTTTTTTCTACACTGTTTTCCATCTTTACACTTCAATTATGCCTACTAAACTGAACAATTTTGCTCACATATTTGTTGAATAAAAAGTACTCACATGTTAAAAGTTTCTACCTTTAGGCTTAGTAATAAATCATTTGTTTAAAGGAAAAAGACTTGTTGTGAACATCAAATAGGCCAAGGTCGAAAAATGATTTGTACAGTAATCTTTTTCTCAATAAAAATTGTACAAGTAATTACTTTTTTGGTCTTTTGGAAAATGTTGTTTGTGCAGTATTTAGACCCCTCTAACAAGAAATTTGTTTTGCATGCACACGTATAAAAATTGCAGTTTTTATCCAACGCAATTAGAAGTTTGATAGTTGTTTTCAATTTAGACTTGTATATATTTTTTCGTTTGGGCTTGTATTATATTTGCCTTCGGGTTTATATGATCCGTTCATCCTATTTTGACTCCTCAAAATTCAAGAGTCTATCCTAAATTGAGGTAAATTATATGGCCTTCCAAATACAATTTCGATTCCTAACATCACTGAAGAGACATTAATTGTCGAAATCCGGATATGGTGTACAAAAATCTTTGCTACTTTGTTTGCGGTATACCATCTTTGCCGCAAGTTTATTGTTTTCTGTTTGGTATTAAATTTATAATTTAGATCCATTTATTACACCTTGTGATCCGTTTATTTGGCAATCGCCAATGGCAGTCAGCAGGGTTTAAGAACATTTGTTGTTCGACCTGTTAGTCAAATGCGTTTTGTTAAAATATACTTTTTCACTTTTTTGGTCTTTTAGAAAAAGTTGTTTGTGCTGTATTTAGACCCCTCTAACAAGAAAATTGCTTTGCATGCACACGTATAAAAATTGCGGTTTTTATCCAACGCAATCATAGGTTTGAACGTTGTTTTGAATTTAGAATTGTTTATATTTTTTCATTTGGGCTTGTATTATATTTGCCTTCGGGTTTATATGATCCGTTCTTCCTATTATGACTCCTCAAAATTCAAAAGTCTATCCTAAATTGAGGTAAACTATGTGGCCTTCAAAATATCGTTTCGATTCCTAACATCACTGAAGAGACATTAATTGTCGAAATCCGGATATGGTGTACAAAAATCTTTGCACCTTTGTTTGCGGTATACCATCTTTGCCGCAAGTTTATTGTTTTCTGTTTGGTATTAAATTTATAATTAAGATCCATTTATTACACCTTGTGATCCGTTTATTTGGCAATCACCAATGGCAGTCAGCAGGGTTTAAGAACATTTGTTGTTCGACCAGTTAGTCAAATGCGTTTTGTTAAATTATACTTTTTCACTTTTTTGGTCTTTTGAAAAATGTTGAATGTGCTGTATTTAGACCCCTCTAACAAGAAATTTGTTTTGCATGCACACGTATAAAAATTGCGGTTTTTATCCAACGCAATCATAGGTTTGAACGTTGTTTTCATTTTAGTCTTGTTTATATTTTTTCGTTTGGGCTTGTTTTATATTTGCCTTCGGGTTTATATGATCCGTTCATCCTATTTTGACTCCTCAAAATTCAAGAATCTATCCTAAATTGAGGTAAATTATATGGCCTTCCAAATACCGTTTCTATTCCTAACATCACTGAAGGGACATTAATTGTCGAAATCCGGATATAGTGTACAAAAATCTTTGCACCTTTGTTTGCGGTATACCATCTTTGCCGCAAGTTTATTGTTTTCTGTTTGGTATTAAATTTATAATTAAGATCCATTTATTACACCTTGTGATCCGTTTATTTAGCAATTGCCAATGGCAGTCAGCAGGGTTTAAGAACATTTGTTGTTCGACCTGTTAGTCAAATGCGTTTTGTTAAATTATACTTTTTCACTTTTTTGGTCTTTTGAAAAATGTTGAATGTGCTATATTTAGACCCCTCTAACAAGAAATTTGTTTTGCATGCACACGTATAAATATTGCGGTTTTTATCCAACGCAATCATAGGTTTGAACATTGTTTTCAATTTAGACTTGTATATGTATATATATATTTATGTATACAACTCGTCTAAACATCAGCCCAACAATGTTAGATCTGTAAATTTGCTTTCGCAAATTTTTTGTTCTTCCCTCGCCGGGATTTGAACCCATGCAACTGATATATCGTGACACCAAATCGCCTGCACTGTATCCGACGCGCTAGACCACTCGACGATCTGGGCTTCACTATAATAAAGCTTTCGGTGGCCGGGTGTTACCTTTCCTCGTCAGTTTTAATCTAGCGTCGTAATACAGTACATGATATATATATAAGGCATGAAGATGGAATTGTTACAGATCAGCTGAAATATCTATTGTAAAGGAGCCTACAAATTGATGCAAGATACAGTCACAGAAATAATTATATTTATAAGTACGTCTGAACAGGTGACAACTCTACAACAGATTTATCCATCAGATCACCAGCAGTGGTGAGATACATGGCTGTGTACATTCTGTATATACAACTCGTCTAAACATCAGCCCAACATAGTTATATATCTCAGTAGCATGGGTTCGAATCCCGGCGAGGGAAGAGCAAAAAGTTTGCGAAAGCAAATTTACAGATCTAACATTGTTGGGTTAATGTTTAGACGACTTGTATATACAGAATGTACACAGCCATGTATCACCATCACTGCTATAAACTGAGGTAAATTATATGGCCTTCCAAGTACCGTTTCGATCCCTAACATCACTGAAGAGACATTAATTGTCGAAATCCGGATATGGTGTACAAATTTTTGCAACTCATGTTTGTGGTATACCATCTTTTCCACAAGTTTATTGTTTTCTGTTTGGTATTGAATTAATATTAAGATCCATTTCGTTAGATCTGGTGATCAATTTATTTGGCAATCGCCAATGGCAGTCAGCAGGGTTTAAGAACATCAGTTGTTCGACCTGTTAGTCAAATGCGTTTTGTTAAAATAGACTTTTTCACTTTTTTGGTTTTTTGGAAATTGTTGTTTGTGCTGTATTTAGACTCCTCTATCAAAAAATTTGTTTTACATACACACGTATAAAAATTGCGGTTTTTATCCAACGCAATCATAGGTTTGAACGTTGTTTTCAATTTAAACTTTTATATATATATATATATATATATATATATATATATATATATATATATAAGTGCCTATAAATAGCAGCACATGACATACAAATCTATGGGAGTGTGGATTAATCAGTACAGAGATTAATTCAATTACACAAATAAAATTATAGATTGCCTAACAATGTAATTGTAACACACTATTTAGTATGTAAATATAAGAATGTTTAAAATATTTACAAAATGATGAAAATAAACGCAATTTTTCGCTAGACTAACTAGCTTTATCAAGCGTGCATCTATCCAGGTGAAATCGGATGTAGATGATAAGAAACTTTTGCAGCTCAATGTATATGTTGCACTTGAATTTAGCTGCCTTGAAAATAATACATAATTTGCATGAAGTTCAAGATATTTACAAAATTGGTAGTTGAAGTTAGCAACGTCCATTGGCCAATATTACAGGATAAAAAGGACGATGCTGTGTACTAAATTATTCTTTATCTTTCCTGTATCTTTTCTCATCTTTTTCGTTAAGACCATCAGGTTCTAAAGTGTGGAGTTGGTGGATCCAAAAATTTTCTCTTCTCCTTCTCGCCGTGGTGTCCCACTCGGTGTTGACTTCTATGATTTGGAAAGTAACATTATCAAAAGAATGTTTCGTTGAACGAAGATGTCTTGTGAGAGGACAGTTTTTGTTGGTTTTGTACCATGAACGATGGTTATTGAGCCGAATATTAAATTTGTCCATTGTTTCTCCCACATACTGAATGCCACAAGTGTCACATGTTAATATATATATATATATATATATATATAAAGTGCCTAGAAAATCAACCTAACAATGTTAGAATAGATCTGATTATTTACTTCCTCCCCGACCGGGGCTGGAACCTGTACTTTTGACTTCATACGTCTACGACATCACCGCCTAGCATTGCGCAGATGCCTTATCCCCTCCTCTAACTATAACTATATCAGCTATAGTTAGAGGAGGGGATAAGATATAATTTGCAGTTGGCACTACACATAGGCAGATATATCTCGTATACTATTATATATACATATTATAATCCCCTCCTCCACTTTCTACAACTACAACACAATTTTAAGAGCCATTTGAAAAATTAACATAGAACGACATTGATCAGAGAATGAAAAATTTAGTCATTCATAGACACATTTTATCAAGTCATTGAAATAGTAAAAAGTAATTTGTTTTGTGTAGTTTTGTAAAAACGGTGTTCTTTTAAACTCTAATCTTCCGAGATACTTGACCTTGCAAGTGTCTTCTCGATAAGATTTCATTTATGATTTGATACCAGATCTTACAAGATCCTATCGCAATACTTGACCACTGTTACTTGTGCTTTCAGGATAATTTTTCTGGATATATCGAATGACAGCTATGTACTCCTCGATCTACAATAAAGTGGCGATCTTGTATTGCTATTGTAAACGTAAACACAGTTTTGCAACCCTTGTGTAAAGTGAAAATCGATAATAATGATCTATTAGATACCATTATACATATTTATTAATAGACTTCTTAAAAATGATTAATTCCTTAACGTCTCATTTAATACTTACATAGCTGATTTTTGCATTTCATCCAAAATAAAGTTGCTAGGTTTGGTCTGTTTACTAATATTGCCCATAGCAATAGATCTTCGAACGATGTTTGAGTGTCATCATCTATATTAAGTAACACATTATCATTTGAATCTACTAAAGAGCTGAAATACTCAAAGACGAAAGGGCCGATACCAATCAAATTTCTATTACTCACCAGGCGTTGTTAAACCTTATTTTGCCGTGTGAAATGACGAGAAGTAAGCAATCAATCAATCTGGCACTAAATAAAATATTTACTTTTTCTGTTAATAAATGCCTTCAGTAGTACACTGCATAACCCATTATATTGATTGAATTTTCCGTATTTGGTAACTTTTGTTCAATTTTGACTGAAGCTATCCGGAGTTAATTCCCTTCCTGTATATCTGTATTTGATGCAAGTGATATATAAGTGTAAATCATGAAACCTTAATTTATATAGACCTATGGTCTTTAGATTTGGGGTCCTTGTTCAATTATTAGAAAAGGTCTTGGTGACGCCTAAATTTTGAACTTTCTATCTTATTGCTACTTCTAATGTAAATGTTGTTAACAAAATATTTTCGTAAATTGTTAGTTTTCTCCGCTTAAATATTTGTCATAATGGAATAACCTGTTTGGCAGTATAATACCTATACCATACATGATATGGACCTAGGGTAGCCTTTTCATCTAAATCTGGGTTTTAATGTAAAATTATTATAACAGGTAAATATGCTTTTATGAGAACTCGAAATTGAAAGTATTATCCTTTTTCTTTTATTAAACTATTGTTAACCAATAAAAAGTCACAAAAGAAATAATTGTGCTTTGGTACTGGCTGTTATCAAAGCGAGACGATTCAATCTAAATCTCAATGTGTTTTAATCACAGGAGAGATAAATCTTGTTACATGAGGAGGTATCTCATCAACTATAGTCTATTTTTTAAAACATCTTCTACGTATTTTTTTGCTTACCCCATTAATGGCCATTATTAAAGCAAAAGTCATTTGACTTGTAATTTTTTGCATATAGGAAACAAATCAGGTAGTATAATATAATTTGTGGCCAAATGATGGGTTGTTAATGGGTGCGAGTCATTGTGACATTGATAGGGGATGGACAGAATTATGGGAACTCTGGAATAAGAGGGCTGGGAATGGAAATTGGGTGGATAGAAGCTGGAGTCAGGGTGGTGTTAACTGTGAGGAAAGGGTTGTTAAAACAGGGATAATTCATGCTTGACGAAACAATAGGAGTGCAGAGGAACAGAATACGGAGTGAAGTAGGAGTTTGGGGGAGGAAACTGGGAATCAATGCCCCCTGTCCACCCACTCACCGATAGCCATAAAAGAAAAGGGGTGGGATCATGTATGTAGCAGGAGCAATTCTGCAGGGGATGCCGACCACAGTTGCTCTAGTTTGTGAAATGATATATAAGAAGACGATGGATGCCTAATGTAAAAGCGCTATGATTATCTAAATAAAAGAAAAACCAAAAAACAATGACAATGCACTAACCCGATAGAGAGATTTTAGTATATTTAATTAATTTAATTCAATATATATACGGAAGTTTTAACGACCTTGTCAGGCTATACAGCCCTTGCACAGTCTGATTAATTTAATACCATAATTTCAAACCACTTATATAAAGTGATTAAGTATCTCATCGAAGGTTATAAATGATAAGAAACGATGCAAATACTAAACTTTAGAACATAAATAAACATCTTTAACAAATGAATTCAAAATAGCGATATCTATTCAGTTTAACAAATATGTACTGAAGAAGTATCATGTAAATCGTTAAATATAGAAACAAGCAATTTATATTTTTAAACAAGGGAAATAACAATTACATAATAATCCTATCTGCCAAATGTATTTAGAAACAATTTGTTTTTGTAAACAATTACTAATTAAAAAAAAAAAAACCACACACTGAAGCTAACATGTTTTTTAGTTGAAACAACTTTATTGTTAATAAACAACTGCCAAACTGTACCAGAAGCAAACACTGTTATTGGAACACACTTTACACAACGAACGACAACTCAAACTAGTATGTTACTCTTATTTGTTGATAATATAAATAAAAATTGATTTAAAAAAGCGGTAATATGTAGCAATTAATAAAAATCAGAATGCCGTAGTGAAAAATCATCAGGAATTTGATCTGCTTTGCCGCCCGGAGATGCCGAAAAGTGAACAAAATCATGTTTTCAGGTGAAGTGGTGAATTGTCCTAGCCAATATAAGAATTGATTCAGCAGTCTTACATTGCTAACATATGTTGATACCACGATAATACATTGATAATACTGTCTTGTTAGATATACCTTATTGTCAAAGAATGCAGCAATAGTGTCGTCATCGACGGCCAAAGAAAAAATGGGGATGATAAAGCATGCAATTCCGGAAATTGACCGTCTCCGAAAATATTAAATTCTAAAATTGAGTTATAGGTCTTTTCGCGCCAGACGACTATTGAAATGGCTACCTAGGGTCAGTTGATTTTAGATCATGACCTATTACCTTAAATCTGAGGTAATGGGAAAGGTTATAGTTGTCGTTTTTGATTTTGACCTTTGCTATAACTACAGACTGTTATATAATACAGCCATAGAGTCTTTTACATGGGGTTAATAAAAAAGTGACTATAAAATGTATGCAGAATTAACCCAGTGTAAACCGGAAGTAGCCATTTTTACACCCGCTTCAGGTACAAGTATCAAAACCATCATTTGTTGTATATCTTTTAAGGTACCTTTCATATTTAACTGGAATTTTGCAAATCGGAAGTAGTAAATTATCTACATTATTTCAAGCAAAATTATATAGAACCAAGTTTTAGCTTTCTTAAAAGCTTTGAAGTGCTTCGCTGGATCATACTTTTCAGTAAGATGTTATTTATGTGGTTGTTTAAGTATGGGATATACTCATAAGTGCGGTATTGTAAGCCCGTCTTAGATGGGATGTATTATAGTATACTGTAGTTTATCCATGAATATTTCCTATAAAAACTCAAATTTGGCAATACCCCAAAAAAATTAAACAGAACATTAGGATTGATAAAATATGAAAAAAAAGAAGATGTGGTATGATTGCCAATGAGACAAATATCCACCAAAGTTCAAATAAAGTGGATGTAAGCAATTATAGGCAATCGTACGGCCTTCAACAATGAGAAACCCATACCGTATAGTCGGCTATAAAAGGCCCCGACATAAAAAATGTGAAATAATTGAGAAAACTTACGGCCTAATCTACAACAAAACAAAATAAAATTAACGGAAAACAAATATGACAGACATGAACCAACGACAACCACTGAACTATAGGCTGCTGATTTGGGCAGGCACATAGAGAATGTGGCGGGGTTAAACATGTTTGAAGGCGCCAACCCTCCCCCTTACATGTATCTGAGACTGTGGTGTAACAGAACAACATAAGAACAAACTATAAAAAGCTTAACTCATCAGATCGATACAAAGCAGAAAAACAAGAAACAAAAACACAGACTGGACGTAACAGTGTATTTATACATCCCCACAACAAAAAAAGACACTAAGTACAGATCTGAGAGTACTCGTTGTTACTGACAGCTAGTTCAAATCCAATTATAACACATAAAATTATAAACAAAAATCATGTATCTAATTGAATTAAAAAATACCAATCAGTACACATTCAACATCCAATTGATTTAGTGTAAAGACGTTTTTAACAGTCAGAGAAAAACATTACCTTGTGGAATGTTAAAATACAGGTATCGACATATTCGGAACCGTGAATGTGTATAACAATGATATTGGTAATCTTTTAGAATATGTTTATTTAAAGGTTTGATAAGTAAAAATTTAGAAGAAAGCTTCATTTTGATTTTCAAATTCTTTGGTTGCGTCATTCCAGAGATATGGTTTTATTTTCAAAATTCATAGTTTGTCATTCCACAGTTACAGGACTTTGACTGTCAGATTAATATGTGTTTTAAGTGTTGGTGTATATTCATATATAGTAAGTTGACCACTCAGAAACTTGTTCATCTTTGTCCCTCCTCTTATCTTATTCATCAATATGAATTTGACGCGACATATAGCAATGTAAACCAATGAAGGCAATCGGGTATCGGATCGGATCTTGAATACCCATACTGAATTAATATCTTCTGTTTTCGGGACATGTTCCCGATTCTATATCTCATTTTAGTCAATATAATTTTTTCCGCAGCATCAGGCAACCTATGAGTACCAATATACGTTACGTTATAATTTCAAATGGCGTTAATATCGTATGTATGAAACTAATAGTTTCACACCATTATACGAAGCAACAATATATTTGTCAAATGAGTGTAAGGAAAATTTTTTAAATATGACTCCTGTTTTTTTTTTGTTTTTTTTTTGTACACCGGTAGTAGACCAACTGTCTCCATTTTTTAAGGGGAAACATAGAATCATAATATTGGAATCATTGAAAAGTTAGTTATAAGTTGACATCGGAAGTGATATTGTAAACCGGATGTACATGACATTCTCCTTATTTTGCAGAAAAGAACTACATAATATATATATATTTGTTTAATCTATGTCCCTAAAGTAGTACACTATCATACTGTAAATATCTTTTTTGGATAGAGCAGATGCAATTTTTTTTTAATTTGCCTTTGTTGGCTTATAGAAATGCACTATGAAATAACTGTGTTCTTGGGCCAGTGTTTGTTCTATGTCTATTTTGTTTTACCAACGTCATTCTGTTGGGCTGTTCATTATAGTTTTTGTAAGATTCCATTATTGTAATCCTTATTCAATGCTATGACTTTCGGTCTCATTTATTTTTTTCATAATACCCTCTAATTAATCATGATATTACATGTACGAAATGGCAAGAAAACTAAATACACCACTGCTTCACGGATATTTACACGCTCGAAAAACCTCATTCATAATATAAATTCAACCGCCGTCAATCGAAATTCCCCTTTTAAATTTAGCACTTTTCACTATTGTGTCAAAGGTGTTAATGCCGCTGCAGCCAGATTATTAAATAAAAATGCACGTGGATATCCACAAATATTCCCGTGCAATGCCAGAAATTAACTAACCTGCTATAGATTCTTTATAATTATCTTCTAATATTAATGTTAGGTCAGCAGTGAACGAGAAAGCTTTTTCGCTCTCCTTTTTCTGTGACATTACATGAAAAATCAAAGCCTCATTTATCTGTTTACTTGAATAAAGCAAAAGTGTGGTATACAATATGTAGGACAAACAGAACGGGATTTTTTAGACGAATACAGGAACATCTATACTGCTACCGAAAACCTAAGAAATTCAAAAGTATAATTTACCGACATTTAGGAAAAAACAATCACAATATCAAATTTATTAAATTCATACTACTGGAAACGATCCAGAAACAACAAGGGCAATCCCTAAAACAATTTGAAGATTCCCGTAAAATTATCGAACTGTCTTGGATTAAACGACTGCAGACAACATATCCCCTTGGTCTAATTGGCAATATAATTGGACAAGGGCACATATCCAAAACTTTTTCTACTGATATTATATATATATATTGTTGATAAAAGACAATGTAATAATAGGTCTCATGGCAAACGTATTAATCGAAATCAACGAATTAAACATCGTATAAATTATACACTTGACGACCTTCTGTATATTGCTACCTAACCAATAACTGGAAGAAGGAAATAAAAGTTGGAAAGCAGGTCAAAATCCTGTTCAGCCTGTTGGTCTAGTACAAAGTAGGGATGATATTTATATAACATTGACTTGTTTTATTCAGGAAAATATCTTTTAAGAAAAATTAAGCAACATCTGGGACAGTTGTTGTTTAAAAATTTGGAAAAGAACAACTCTCAAATTTAACTACGCATAGTATAAAAATACTTAACATCAAATATTGCTTTAACATCTGCAACAATATTCGAAAAAAGGGGGAAAAAACTGTCATTTTTGTTTACCAAAACTGCTTAAGACAGCATAATGGGTACACTTTACCACTCGCACTTCAGTAATTATAATGCTCCAAACGATGATTTGTTATAATTGAACATTATATCCGTGATATCTAGGGAAAAAAAACCTTTACTTACTCCACTTCACATACTCCGTTAAAGACCCTATTTAATCTCATTGCATCAAAACTGTAAATCTTTAGTTGTATTCATTTATTACCTTTCTCCCTTTTCTTTGTCATACCACTCGCCTCTGGTTGTTCCTCTCTTCTACTCGTCTCTGGTTCATCACTCTCACTACTTGTGTCTGGTTGGTTCACTCCGCTACTTTTCTCTGGTTCATCCCCTTCATCACTTATCTCTGGTTTATCTCCTCTTTCACACGTCTCTGGTCGGTCCACTCTTCTACTCGTCTCTGGTTGTTCCTCTCTTCTACATGTCTCTGTTTGTGCTTCTCTTCCATTCGTCTCTGCTTGCTCCTCTCTTCTACACGTCTCTGGTTGTGCCTCTGTTCTACCCGTCTCTGTTTGTGCCTCTCTTCTACTCGTTTCTGGTTGTTCCTCTATTCTACACGTCTCTGTTTGTGCCTCTCTTCTACTCGTTTCTGGTTGATCCTCTCTTCTACTTGTCTCTGGTTGTTCTTCGCTTCTACAGGTCTCTGGTTGCTCCTCTCTTCTACACGTCTCTGGTTGTTCCTCTCTTCTACTCGTTTCTGGTTGTTCCTCTCTTCTATTCGTCTCTGGTTGTTCTTTTCTTTTTCTCGTCTCAGGTTGTTTTTCTCTCCTACTTGTCTCTGGTTGTTCCTCTTTTCTACTCATCTCTGGTTGACCTCCCTCACTACTCGTCTTTGGTTGATTTCCTGCAGATCTTGTTTTTAGATGATCCCCCTCATCGATCGTCTTTGGTTGAATCCCAACACGACTTCTCTGACCTCTGCCATCTCCATCTGGTTGATATAATACATCATATTTCAGTCGTACTGTCGTAATAATTTCGGTCAAAAGTAAGCTGAATGGTACGTTATTACACAAATGTATTTTAAAGATTAGCGTTTTACATGTATATACATACATATGTCATTTTTACTACCTTCTTGGTTGTTTTGCCTACTCCCGTAAGTGTTGTTTTAATCATTTGTTTTTCAAAGAGGGGCAAAAGATACCAAAGGGATATTCAAATTCATTAGTATCGGACAAACTGACAACGCAAATAAAAAAAAACTCCGAATAACAGCAGTTTACTAAACACAAAATAAAGAATAAAGACTGAGCAACACAAACACCATTAAAAACTGGGGGTGACCTCAGGTGCTCCGGAAGGGTAAACAGATCCTGCTTCATACGGGGCACTCGTCGTGTTCTCATGCGAGTACAAGTGAGTGATTTAACATTCGAAGAAAAGTGGACTGAATTGTGGTTACGACAATTGGAACATATCCGTCGTCATCTGTTAAACAGATATTCCATAACGGTAAATCAACTCGTGATGGCGTCCGTTAAATTTACGAAGGGATGACTTCGACTTCATCAGTTGGAACCCTTCATTTGATAGCTCCCTTGTAAGCAACAACCTTATTTCAAAGAAATCATGGTTGGTAATTTTGGCTTAAAATATTGTATTAAGAAATAAAACAACAAAAACACCAAACTCCAAGGAAAGCTCAAGACGGAAAGTCCCACATTGACTGCGAGATATATACTTTATATGTAGGAACTGAAAGTTGTTACGTAGAAATGGAAAGTTCACAATTGGAAAGCTGAAATCATATCACTTGATGTAAAGTTTTGTTCTCAACCAACCCTCATTGTCATATTCTAGATGTTATACAAGATATGAGGCAGACTTTGTTAATTTCTGTGGTATTCTTAAAAAAGTTTATTCCAAGTTCGATGGGATAGATGCGTTCAACATGTTCACCAAACTTTGAATTATTTAGTGAGAGGACATCAACCATATAGCGAAACGTGAAGTTACAGAATACTGCTAGCTTCATTTCATTCTTACTCTAAAGCTCCTGTATGAAGTCTGCCTTATATGAATAAAGGATTATCAATCGTCTCTTGGTGTGAATATTAAACTAGATACTCGCCTCTCGTTGAAGCACACTGTCACGTGCCTGACCTACACCACACGCCTCTGGTTGATAAACTGATCGAAATCTAAGAAAAAGTTAATCTGATACACCTAATTTTTCAAATGTAAATCGTGAATTAAGGTCTTAAAAGTTCTAAAGTATTCTCCTGCAAGGGAACTTAGTGTATTGACATCCGTCATCAAAGTGAATATGTTCCTGTTATATTTTTGACACCAAATATGCTATAAATGTGACTCAACATAGACTTATTGTTTCATTATTATCATATGTAACTGTGTAACAAAGTGGATTTCTGAAAGTGACTCTTCGACAAAATGTACACAACTGATACCTCGCGTAACTTGTGGTATAATAATATATTATAAAAGTGCTAGGCTGATAGTATAGTGTCCCTTAGGAACTGAATGTTCAGTAATATAATATTATATATTTATATCATAATATTTTTGCTCCCAAAAAGAACAAACGTTATATGTTAAACAATTAACAAAACAACTGTTGTAATGCATTAATGGTTACCAAGACGAATTTGTTATGATGACAATTGTTATAGAATTAATGTACAATATATAATTGGATTTCGTCGTGTAAATCTTATAATGATTTATTTCCCATTTTGTAATAGATGTCAATATCATAGATATTTGATTGAGAAATAAAAAGTTAAATAGGAATCGAATTTACGTACATGAAGAGTAACTCTTTGTTCGATTGTTTTTTTAACAGACAATCAACTAAGATAAATAAAGGATCCCCTTTTTTGGAGAACATTTCACTACAAACAATGTAGTTTTAAAATTTATCCATTTATTTCCTTTGGAGATAGACCATAATTTTTTTTTAACTTTGTAATATCCCCAATTCTGTACTACTAGATTTGCTGAGATTTGCTCATAGATTGAGTTCAAACCATGCAAAACATTTAATCATAGTACTACTATGATCATTTTTTTAATAATTATTTAACAGCAAAAATACATGAGAAATAGTCGAAATACAACACTATAAAAATAATTTTCTCTGAACAAACTAGCTGAATAAGCCTTTATGATACAATGGGATTGTAGAGATAGAACAGTGTAATTCTGACAAAAACTCGGAGAGTGTAGAAATTTCGTATTGTAGTTGATGTATATGGGGATAGACCATTGCACTTGGATCTCAAATATATTGTTATCTACATTTTTCATTTTTCATCAAAAGTGGACATTTAACACTATAAGATTCACAAGACGATTTGTTGAAACAGTGTTAAGATGGTCCGAGTACACAGTTATCGTCCTTTGATTTTCGTTGTCCACGAATAAAGTCCCTAGTGTGGACAGTGTGTTGCTTGCCAATTTTTTTAGTACCCCTTCCAAATGTATTCCTTCATGTTTTATGCCTCAAATAGCAAGTAGGGGGATGAAATTACACTGTAAAAAAATTTGGGTCATGAATTGTAAAGTAAAGTAGTGATTTGGTCCAGCTGAAAAAGGTTAAAAATTAGCACTTCGGAAGCTGTCAAAAGATTTCAAGACCCCCTTAACATAGAATTGTCCATATTTTGAGTTAGAGCCGATGAAGTTTTCTATAATTTTGATATAATTTGTCCCAAAAGTAGTACAACACACTGTAAAAATATTATTGAGAAAGCGCAGGTGGGATTTTTTTTATTTTCATTTATTGTCTAAAAGAAATGCACTACGAAATAACTGTGTACTCGGACCTAAGAGGCGAAATCAGTAAATATAGAATCTGTACTTTGGCAACTTCCCTGAATGATATAATGGTGTCAATTTGTCAGATAGCATGAAACTAAAGGATTTAAACTTTTATTTGATAGAAATTCTGCAAAAATTACCCATTTTGGCATTATATGGTCAAAATAAGCATTTCAAAGCTTTTTCAATTTTGATGCATAAGTGGCATTCTGACTTTCTATGTGACAGGTTTTCCTGTGTCAATATTTGTGTTTCTATGCTTTAACCCAGTTGTATTACTCATTTGTGAACTCTGAATCTACAGAAAATAAGATTATCTCAGACAATATGTGCAAAATGTGTTGTATAAATGACCCTCGTGTAACGGCCTGTTTGGATCAAGTTAAATGTGAGGACCTAGGTAAATAAAAGTTGAAGTCCATAATAAAGATTTCACTAAATTTGTATTAAAAGCACTTCACAATGTCTTTTGTACCTGTTTCATTTCACATAGTATCTTTCTTTTCTTATGTTAAATAGCAAGTGGTTCAAATATAAGCCTGCTGAGGCTAAAATTGCATGCAAGTTTTTCACTAAAAAATGAAAAATCTTTGTATCAGACCATACTGTCTGCAAAAAAAGTTGAATGCAAGAGTCCTTTTATGCTCAGATTTATTGTATCATGTAACCTGAGTATAGAAATTATAAAAAAGACACAAATTTTTATTTCCTATAGCTTCAGTATGCATTTTTAAATGTAAATATGTGCTACGGCCTAAATTGACTCTAAATTATTTTCAGTCTTACTTGGCTTAAGACCCTTTTATACTAATATGGTATGCTATTTGTAATTTTTCTTTCCATTTAAAGTACATTTAATACATATGTAAGGATTATTTATAACCAAAAAACTCCACAAATTTAAAATTGCTGGAAAATAATACATCTTCATGTAAGGCCCCCCTTCATTGGAAAACCTCCATTTTTTGGCACAGGCTCATATAAATTTGACTTTTAAATAATTTTGATAAGTCTGATAAATCAAATGAGTATTCTATTGCTTTAAATACATAATATGTCATATATTAAGGCCTTTAAAATGTAATTTTTTGCAATATTTTAATTTTTATAGCCCCAAATGTTGATAGTTGAAATTTTTCAATTTAAACGTCAAAATTTAACACGCGAAGTTGAATATAGAATTTATCATATTGTCTATAATATATATCCTATTGCCATGAAACTTTGTCAGCAGTCTCATAATTTATTAAGCTTTAGTCATACCAAGTTTTATTAAGATTGGCCAAATTTTTCTGTCCTATTAGGTCCGAGTACACAGTTATCGTCCTTTGATTTTCGTTGTCCACGAATAAAGTCCCTAGTGTGGACAGTGTGTTGCTTGCCAATTTTTTTAGTACCCCTTCCAAATGTATTCCTTCATGTTTTATGCCTCAAATAGCAAGTAGGGGGATGAAATTACACTGTAAAAAAATTTGGGTCATGAATTGTAAAGTAAAGTAGTGATTTGGTCCAGCTGAAAAAGGTTAAAAATTAGCACTTCGGAAGCTGTCAAAAGATTTCAAGACCCCCTTAACATAGAATTGTCCATATTTTGAGTTAGAGCCGATGAAGTTTTCTATAATTTTGATATAATTTGTCCCAAAAGTAGTACAACACACTGTAAAAATATTATTGAGAAAGCGCAGGTGGGATTTTTTTTATTTTCATTTATTGTCTAAAAGAAATGCACTACGAAATAACTGTGTACTCGGACCTAAGAGGCGAAATCAGTAAATATAGAATCTGTACTTTGGCAACTTCCCTGAATGATATAATGGTGTCAATTTGTCAGATAGCATGAAACTAAAGGATTTAAACTTTTATTTGATAGAAATTCTGCAAAAATTACCCATTTTGGCATTATATGGTCAAAATAAGCATTTCAAAGCTTTTTCAATTTTGATGCATAAGTGGCATTCTGACTTTCTATGTGACAGGTTTTCCTGTGTCAATATTTGTGTTTCTATGCTTTAACCCAGTTGTATTACTCATTTGTGAACTCTGAATCTACAGAAAATAAGATTATCTCAGACAATATGTGCAAAATGTGTTGTATAAATGACCCTCGTGTAACGGCCTGTTTGGATCAAGTTAAATGTGAGGACCTAGGTAAATAAAAGTTGAAGTCCATAATAAAGATTTCACTAAATTTGTATTAAAAGCACTTCACAATGTCTTTTGTACCTGTTTCATTTCACATAGTATCTTTCTTTTCTTATGTTAAATAGCAAGTGGTTCAAATATAAGCCTGCTGAGGCTAAAATTGCATGCAAGTTTTTCACTAAAAAATGAAAAATCTTTGTATCAGACCATACTGTCTGCAAAAAAAGTTGAATGCAAGAGTCCTTTTATGCTCAGATTTATTGTATCATGTAACCTGAGTATAGAAATTATAAAAAAGACACAAATTTTTATTTCCTATAGCTTCAGTATGCATTTTTAAATGTAAATATGTGCTACGGCCTAAATTGACTCTAAATTATTTTCAGTCTTACTTGGCTTAAGACCCTTTTATACTAATATGGTATGCTATTTGTAATTTTTCTTTCCATTTAAAGTACATTTAATACATATGTAAGGATTATTTATAACCAAAAAACTCCACAAATTTAAAATTGCTGGAAAATAATACATCTTCATGTAAGGCCCCCCTTCATTGGAAAACCTCCATTTTTTGGCACAGGCTCATATAAATTTGACTTTTAAATAATTTTGATAAGTCTGATAAATCAAATGAGTATTCTATTGCTTTAAATACATAATATGTCATATATTAAGGCCTTTAAAATGTAATTTTTTGCAATATTTTAATTTTTATAGCCCCAAATGTTGATAGTTGAAATTTTTCAATTTAAACGTCAAAATTTAACACGCGAAGTTGAATATAGAATTTATCATATTGTCTATAATATATATCCTATTGCCATGAAACTTTGTCAGCAGTCTCATAATTTATTAAGCTTTAGTCATACCAAGTTTTATTAAGATTGGCCAAATTTTTCTGTCCTATTAGGTCCGAGTACACAGTTATCGTCCTTTGATTTTCGTTGTCCACGAATAAAGTCCCTAGTGTGGACAGTGTGTTGCTTGCCAATTTTTTTAGTACCCCTTCCAAATGTATTCCTTCATGTTTTATGCCTCAAATAGCAAGTAGGGGGATGAAATTACACTGTAAAAAAATTTGGGTCATGAATTGTAAAGTAAAGTAGTGATTTGGTCCAGCTGAAAAAGGTTAAAAATTAGCACTTCGGAAGCTGTCAAAAGATTTCAAGACCCCCTTAACATAGAATTGTCCATATTTTGAGTTAGAGCCGATGAAGTTTTCTATAATTTTGATATAATTTGTCCCAAAAGTAGTACAACACACTGTAAAAATATTATTGAGAAAGCGCAGGTGGGATTTTTTTTATTTTCATTTATTGTCTAAAAGAAATGCACTACGAAATAACTGTGTACTCGGACCTAAGAGGCGAAATCAGTAAATATAGAATCTGTACTTTGGCAACTTCCCTGAATGATATAATGGTGTCAATTTGTCAGATAGCATGAAACTAAAGGATTTAAACTTTTATTTGATAGAAATTCTGCAAAAATTACCCATTTTGGCATTATATGGTCAAAATAAGCATTTCAAAGCTTTTTCAATTTTGATGCATAAGTGGCATTCTGACTTTCTATGTGACAGGTTTTCCTGTGTCAATATTTGTGTTTCTATGCTTTAACCCAGTTGTATTACTCATTTGTGAACTCTGAATCTACAGAAAATAAGATTATCTCAGACAATATGTGCAAAATGTGTTGTATAAATGACCCTCGTGTAACGGCCTGTTTGGATCAAGTTAAATGTGAGGACCTAGGTAAATAAAAGTTGAAGTCCATAATAAAGATTTCACTAAATTTGTATTAAAAGCACTTCACAATGTCTTTTGTACCTGTTTCATTTCACATAGTATCTTTCTTTTCTTATGTTAAATAGCAAGTGGTTCAAATATAAGCCTGCTGAGGCTAAAATTGCATGCAAGTTTTTCACTAAAAAATGAAAAATCTTTGTATCAGACCATACTGTCTGCAAAAAAAGTTGAATGCAAGAGTCCTTTTATGCTCAGATTTATTGTATCATGTAACCTGAGTATAGAAATTATAAAAAAGACACAAATTTTTATTTCCTATAGCTTCAGTATGCATTTTTAAATGTAAATATGTGCTACGGCCTAAATTGACTCTAAATTATTTTCAGTCTTACTTGGCTTAAGACCCTTTTATACTAATATGGTATGCTATTTGTAATTTTTCTTTCCATTTAAAGTACATTTAATACATATGTAAGGATTATTTATAACCAAAAAACTCCACAAATTTAAAATTGCTGGAAAATAATACATCTTCATGTAAGGCCCCCCTTCATTGGAAAACCTCCATTTTTTGGCACAGGCTCATATAAATTTGACTTTTAAATAATTTTGATAAGTCTGATAAATCAAATGAGTATTCTATTGCTTTAAATACATAATATGTCATATATTAAGGCCTTTAAAATGTAATTTTTTGCAATATTTTAATTTTTATAGCCCCAAATGTTGATAGTTGAAATTTTTCAATTTAAACGTCAAAATTTAACACGCGAAGTTGAATATAGAATTTATCATATTGTCTATAATATATATCCTATTGCCATGAAACTTTGTCAGCAGTCTCATAATTTATTAAGCTTTAGTCATACCAAGTTTTATTAAGATTGGCCAAATTTTTCTGTCCTATTAGGTCCGAGTACACAGTTATCGTCCTTTGATTTTCGTTGTCCACGAATAAAGTCCCTAGTGTGGACAGTGTGTTGCTTGCCAATTTTTTTAGTACCCCTTCCAAATGTATTCCTTCATGTTTTATGCCTCAAATAGCAAGTAGGGGGATGAAATTACACTGTAAAAAAATTTGGGTCATGAATTGTAAAGTAAAGTAGTGATTTGGTCCAGCTGAAAAAGGTTAAAAATTAGCACTTCGGAAGCTGTCAAAAGATTTCAAGACCCCCTTAACATAGAATTGTCCATATTTTGAGTTAGAGCCGATGAAGTTTTCTATAATTTTGATATAATTTGTCCCAAAAGTAGTACAACACACTGTAAAAATATTATTGAGAAAGCGCAGGTGGGATTTTTTTTATTTTCATTTATTGTCTAAAAGAAATGCACTACGAAATAACTGTGTACTCGGACCAGATGAGCTTCAGGGGGCGGATCTAGGATTTGTGATAAGGGGAGAGGGTGCTTTTCGATAAAACGGAATATATATCGCCGATCGAAGAGAGGCAAAAAAATTTGGACGGTTATATGCTAAAAATCATATAAATCGTGAAAAACATGATATAATAATTTGTTGAGGGGCGTACGCCCTTTACACGCCCTGAATCCGCCACTGAGCTCACTAACTAGACAAAAAATTTAAATCAATTATTGCATTATTCTATCTAAAAATGTACATGCACTTTTTCCCCCATTCTCTTTCTTTTGTATGAACATCTCATCCAGATATGCACCTGTATCAAAGAAATAAATATAAGGGTTGTTACGTGTAATTAGTGTACTACCTAAGATGTACATAGTGACTAAACTTGATGAGTAATTTTAATTTTTTTCTTCTTGAATACTATAGTGTAATATGAATCAATAGTGACAAATCACGAAAAAAAACGTGCTATCTATCAAAGTATTTGCATTTCAAAACAACAAATTCTCCTAAGATTTTATAGGCAAACGCTTTGATAGAACTTTCAAACCAAAGTTTTACGGGGTTTTTGCAAATTCTTACCAAAACGCAATAAGATAACTAAAAACTGAGCAACACGAACTCAACAAAAAGCCGGGGTGATATCAAGTGCTCCGCAAGAGTAAGAATTTTCTGCTTCACATGTGTCATAAAGTTGTGTTATGTCTTAATATTTGCAAATAAGAATACAAAATTGTATTTCTCTTTGTGTAATGAGGTTATTTTTATTAGCGGATGTTAAATTTTCAAAAATAGAAGCAAGTTTTTTTCTTAATGATCCCACATCCTAAAATGATCAGGCCATTAATGATGCTACAAACATTTTGAGAAGCAGTTAACGATCTTTCGAAATCTCCAATGATTACTAGTACTATTCATCGATATTTGTTGTTTCTATTCCTACATCTTTTTCCTTTGTTTCTACCTCTAAGATTACTTTTTTTGTTTAGTTAGTAGGTGGCAATTGCTTTTCATTTGAAAAATGATAACAAGGAACTCTTCAGTTTTTTATAAATGGGTGTGTCGTGGATGTGTTTGTTCGTGTGACATCAGTTATTCTACAAAGACAATAGGAGTAATAGTAGGTCTTCGTCAAAAGAAGGTTAGATATTTCAAGTAACTAAGAATGTACGGCAAATTATTTACAAAACGGAATACATTTCATTTAAAACTCGAACATTTTTGGGATTGATAAAGATTTCTAGGTGATAATGAATTCGAGCTTTTCAAATGAGTTTGTTTTAGGAAACCGAGACGACATATTTTTTATCTGGATTTATTTTAATATCCAGAGCCTGAAGAAACTTTGTACTGTTACTTCCAGTAATTAAACTCAGTTGTTTAGGAAGAGACAGAAATAAGACTTAATTCACAGTCTCTGTTTACAATGAACAGATGTTATTAGAAATTATAACTATAATGGTCATTTTGTAAAAATGTCATCAGACACTTATGATGTTTTATTTCTTTGTGTACAGTATTTTCCACACAAGACTAAATTTGTGGTTCTAGAATGTTTGGTTTTTTTTAACCGAAAAACATGTATGCCATTGATTACTAAACAATGTTATTTGGCCAGTGATGTACAGCATACTTCCATTGGTCCGAGATTACTCTGACGTCCAACGGCTGTTTTGCCAGACAAGCTGGGGCCGTGGGACGTCAGAGCTCGTCCCATATCAAAAGATGGATAATTGCCCGTCCAAAATGGATGCGCTGCTTCGTTGCCTCTGGAGCCGATTGACGGCCTTTGATCTATATAAATCGAGCCTCAATTTGTTCATTTGTTCATTTATCTCTTCATTTATGTAAGTTTCATCTACCTGCCACCGTTTATTTTCTCATATTTGGACAGTTTTCACAGTGACCCATCGATTCCGGCCTTGAAATATTGTAACGTGACCAACGAGACAACGTAAGGCGCAATGCATAATGGAAGCTGATTTATGCAAATGATCCTGGGTCAATGTGAATACATAATATTACACCTCGTTCATTTACGATGAAATAAGCTAAATGGCCGAGTGTGTTCCGATTGTTATCATGGTTGGCTACTAAAGATTTAATTCCGAAATTAGCATAAAGATTTGCATACTTCAGTCGCGAGGCCGCGAAGTCTCTCGTTACTTGGACGTCCATTTGAAAAAAGAGTTAAAATGCCGGAATCGATGGGTCACTGTGAAAACTGTCCAAATATGAGAAAATAAATGGTGTCAGGTAGATAAATAAAAAGATAAATGAAAAATGAACAAATAAAGGCTCCATTTATATAGATCCAAGGCCGTCAGACGGCTCCAGAAGCAGCGCATCCATTTTGGATGGGCAAATATTCACTTTTTGATATGGGACGAGCTCTGACGTCCCACGGCCCCAGCTTATCTGGCAAAACAGCCGTTGGACGTCAGAGTAATCTCGGACTTACTTCCAGCTGCTCACATTCTACCAGGATACAATACAATACAATACAAAGTTTTTTATTGTCAATTATGACGCCCGATAATTTGAGCAGTACAATTAAGTTCATTTTCATACAAGTGATTACATATTGATTACATTGATTATTAAACAATTAAACAAAATCAAGTCTTTCTCAGCAGAATAATTTCTACAGGAATAATATGTATAGTTTTACAATATAATCTAGATGGATAAACTGCATCTAGAATTAAATTTCTGTCTTTGAATAAAGTACACAATAATAAACTTACTTTTTTAATTATAACATTATCCTCAGATAACATTAACCATATTAATTTTGATTTATTTGGGAGCCTTTAAAAGTTTTTGTTAACCTTGTGTAAGTAATTTATATATTCAGATCTTTTATTTTCTAAAACAGGACACTGAAGAAGAAAATGAATTTCATCTTCAACTTCAGCGTTGCATAATTTACATATTCTATCCTCCACTCGAAGCCCCACATATCTGCCTCTTTCAATTTCTAATTTATGTGCACTGACTCTGAACTTAGTGAGCAGTCGCCTATCATCCTCATTCAAAATTAATAAGTATTTTTCCATACAAATATTTTCTTTAAATAATCTGTAAGTTCTTAGTTTATTTCCATGCTGTTTATTTTGTCTATCATTGTAAAGTTCAGATTTCCAAATACAAGAATATTTCTGTTTTAATTTCCGGTAAATTAGTGATTTTAAATCCATCTTTGAATTTTTAACAAGTTTAAGATCTATATCAAGATATTTCATAAGAATAACAATACAACTATACCAACTATTTTTGTTTAAACTATTTAGTGATTTATAATATCTAAACATATTTAAAGTTACTTCAAGAAATAAGGGATATCAAGTCAAAAGTGTTGTCCTTATCCAATATACTCTTATTTGAGTTGTTACAAAGGAATTTAATGTGCAGAGAGCGTGGTACTTTCTCTACACGAGGCATCGGATTTAACGTCCTGACTTTACAGGGCTGCGTACTTGTACATCCCGCACAGCCAAACTGCCCCACTTTGGTGAGTGCTTTACTGCCGATCGGAAGAAGACCTTAGTGACCATATTTCTATTTCGCAGACATTGGAAATGAATATTCTCGACTGGTATTAACTATAAAAAATAACCTTGTCCAAGACACGATGAAAATAAATATTTTGTCCTACAAAATGCAGGATTTTGCGCTAAATAAATTAGCCGTACTATCAACAGGTGTAAAATGAATATTCCATCAGCAATCCCCCCCCCCCCCCCCACCCACTGTTATTTTAAATGATCAACTGAGGGTACTTATATTTAATCATGTTTTTAATTGAGCAATTTTCAGTTTTTGTCATAAACATAGGTAGATAACTTAATTCATAACATTTTATGATCATTTTTATTCAATATATATGTAACTTCCTTAAATTTTAACAATAAAATCCACGTTCTCAATATCTATTTCTACGTACAATAACTTACACAAGGCCTACATTGAGTATCGACTGCATGTGGCCAAAATCTGATTTAAACTAATAAACTTTGATTTTTATCAATTGGAACGTAATAGAGTTTAGTTTAAGTGTTGAGTACACTTACACCACACCGAGTTTAGGTCAATGTGAACACGGCCTAAGATTTTAATATTTTGGTTGAAAATTTCCGTGGATATAGATAGATGTTGACACTTTCTCACATGTATGAAACGGGAGTATAGTTCAATAATAAAGGCAACAGTAGTATACTGCTGTTCGAAATTCATAAATCGATTGAGAAAAAAACAAATCCGGGTTACAAACTAAAACTGAGGAAAACACATCAAATATAAGAGGAGAACTAAGACACAACAGAAAAACAACATTAAAATGTAACACACACATAAACGAACTATAATATAACAATGGCCATTTTCCTGACTTGGTACAGGACATTTTAAGAAAAAATATAGTATCTGGCAAACAGGCTTAAATGTAACAATCTAAATTAAAACAGTATTTCCAGAGCATTATGCCTTTGGTTTTTTTTTTATATCAAACATGTTCTTGGATTCATTTGCATTTCTCATGAGTGCAAATTGGAACCACACTTTTTTTAACGGTAGAATCATCAAATTTGGCAATAATGTACCTCAAGGGATAGGTAAAACAATTCAAAAACAATTTTGGTGTGGCTCGCCTGGTTCGGCAACTGGAGTGAAAACAGTGACAAAATCCTGTAGGATATTTTTTTCTCCCATAGGATTTTTAAATATCCTACAGGATTTTATGAAATCTTTTAGGATAAAGTCATAATCCCGTAGGATATTTTTGATATCCTATGGGATATTTAAATCCTATCGGAAGGCTTGAAGTAAAATAATCGGGAATTTGTGTCATTGGTAGTAATATTTACATTTCTTGAACAATGAAATATGGGGATATTTGGTCAAATAAAATAATATCTTTACTTAGTACCAGAACATATAAAAATTATTCTCTTTTTTTGGGGTTTGTTCCCAAATAAATTTTTTCTCCCATAGGATACTTTTTTCTCCCATAGGATATTTAGTTCTCCCATAGAATATTTCTTTCTCCCATAGGGGATTTCTTTCTCCCATAAGATCTTTTTCTCTCTAATGATTTGCTTTAATATCCCATAGGATTTTTATTCTCCCTTAGAATGTTTTCTATCCCTTAGGATTTATTTTTAACCCTTAGGATTTTTTTTATCGCACAGGATATTTTTTCTGTAATGAAATCCCTTAGGATTTTTATTAATCCTATAGGATATATTTTATTCAACAGGATTATTTTATTAGACAAATATCCAATAGGATAAAAAATATCCTGTACGAAATGCTTTTATTTCTCCTAAGGGATTTTTTTTAGTCCTAAAGGAGAAAATATGTCCTGTAGGATACTTTTATTCTCCTAAGGGATTATAAATCCCATAGGATTTAAATATCCTGTAGGATATTGAAAATATCCTATGGGATTATGACTTTATCCTATAGGATTTCTCAAAATCCTGTAGGATTTTGAAAAATCCTATGGGAGAAAAAAATATCCTACAGGATTTTGTCACGGTTTTCACTCCAGTTGCCGAACCAGGCGAGCCACACCAAAAAATATTTTGTATTGTGTTACATATCCGCAGAGGTACATTATTCCCAAATTTGATGATTCTACCGTTAAAACAAGAGGCTCTCAAGAGCCTGAATCGCTCACCTGTTATTTTTTTTGCTTAAATCTTTCATCAATGATTATATTTGCTTTTTACCCATATGTTCCATTTTAGTCATAGTGTCTATGTTTCTTGACGTACAAGGAAATGAAGTACAAAATTTATACTAGATTCATTTGAGAAGATTTTTAAAGTAAAAAAACATAAAACAACTTGTGTAAAATTGTCCTTAAAGGGCAATAACTCCTAAAGGGGTCAATTGACTATTTTGGTCATTTTAACTTTTTTGTAGATCTTACTTTGCTGAACATTTTTGCTGTTTACAGTTTATCTTTATCTTCAATAATATTCAAGATAATAACCAAAAACTGCAAAATTTCCTCAAAACTACCAATTAAGTGGCAGCAACCCAACAATGGGTTGTTAGGTGTGTCTGAAAATTTCAGGGCTGATAGATCTTGACCTTTGAAACATTTTTACCCCTTGTCAGATTTGCTCTAAATGCTTTAGTTTCTGAGATATAAGCCAAAAACTGCATTTCACCACCTATGTTCTATTTTTAGCCATGGCGGCCATGTTTGTTGATGGATAAAAATTTCGGATACAATTCATAAACTAGATTCCTAAAGGAACATTCATTCAAAGTTGAGAAGTATTAGGCACAATAGTTTCAGAAGAGAAGATTTTTAAATGTTAGCAAACTTGATGAACACATTGCGTAAAATTGTATTTAAAGAGCAATAACTCCTTAAGGGGTCAATTGACAAATTTGATCATTTAATTTTTCTGTCGATCTTACTTTGCTGAACATTATTGCTGTTTACAGTTTATATCTATCTATAATAATATTCAAGATAATAACAAAAATTTCCTCAAAACTACCAATTTAGTGGCAGCAACCCAACAATGGTTTGTTCGATTTGTCTGAAAATTTCAGGGCTGATAGATCTTGACCAATTGAACAGTTTTATTCGTGTCAGATTTGCTCTAAAAGCTTTAGTTTTGGAGATATAAGCCAAAAACTGCATTTGACCCCTATGTTCTATTTTAGCCATGGCGGCCATGTTTGTCAATGGATCAAAACTTCGGATACAATTTATAAACAAGATATCCTAAGAAGCATTTAGATGAAGTTTGAAGGTATTTGGCGCAGTAGTTTCAGAGGAAACGATTTTTAAATGTTAGCAAACTTGATGAACAAATTGTGTAAAATTGTCTTTAAAGGGCAATAACTCCTTAAGGGGTCAATTGACAATTTTGGTCATTAAACTTTTTTGTAGATCTTACTTTGCATAACATTATTGCTGTTTACAGTTTATATCTATCTATAATAATATTCAAGATAATAACAAAAAACTGCAAAATTTCCTTAAAACTACCAATTTAGTGGCAGCAACCCAACAATGAGTTGTTCGATTCGTCTGAAAATTTTAGGGCTGATAGATCTTGACCAATTGAACAATTTAACCCGATGTCAGCTTTGCTCTAAAAGCTTTAGTTTTTGAGATATAAGCAAAAAACTGCATTTGACCCCTATGTTCTATTTTTAGCCATGGCGGCCATGTTTGTCTATGGATCAAAACTTCGGATACAATTTATAAACTAGGTACCCTAAGGAACATTTAGTTAAAGATTGAAGGTATTTGGCCTAGTAGTTTCAGAGGAGAAGATTTTTGAAATAGTTTACGACGACAGACGACGACGACAGACGACGGACGACGACGGACGCCAAGTGATGGCATAAGCTCACATGGGGCCCTTCGGGCCCCGGTGAGCTAAAAAGTGTGGTTCCAATTTGCACACATGAGAAGTGAAAATTAATCCAAGAACATGTTATCAGTTATCATGTAGAATTGCCGAATATTGTCCAAATGTGATTTTTGAAAGTCCCCCTTCTGACCTTTGACCACAATTTTAAAATATTTGCACCACCTAAGCACTCTATGAAACTAGGCTTAAATCGATTTTTTCTTTTAATTGAAAATCATGTTTTCCGAAGTGTATTACAATCTATCACGAGTTTCTTATGCGTTTTACATTTTCAACTTACTTTTAGGATAATCCAATAAAGCTTGACACATGTTTCGACATGCATTTATACACTTTTGGCTACTGTAAATGTGAATCTCTCTTATAGACTTTTCAAAATATTTGGACCACATTTTACCAGCTGATTGACTACTTTTTCTGCATCTGAAAACATCCCATGACATTCGGTGAGTAACTTCGATATCTGACCGTACGAATAATTTATTTCTTCAAACTGATCCATGGCTGAGCGCTGTTCATCCGCATAGTGCTGGAAAGATTGTAATGCTGTTTCTAGAGATGATACATAATCCTTTAAATTGTTTAGTAGATCAGACAATTCGACATTCAATGATTGTTTAAATTCATGTTTATCGAAATTATGCAACCATTCAAATGCATCTTTTGCATATGAAAGTTTTTTAAGTGTGCCAATCACCTTTGATACACAACTTGTTGCACATTTTGCTCTTTCTCTGAGTTTTGATTGTTCTGTATGATCATTTTCCGAGTGATCCTTTGATTCGTCAATAATCTCCTTCAAGGTTTCGTCAAATTCTTTTTTCGCGTCTTCTAATGGATGTTTTTGTAACCATTGCTGTGTGTTTGCCAAAAAATCTCCAATTCTATTCAGGTAACAGGAACTTTTTAAGGAGTATATAGATGATGATGATCCCCACTAAAATTAAATTGCATATTACAATACTAACACAACTCATTCACAGGAAACCACAGTGTTCCTAATTCTTACGTGTGAAAAAGAGGATATGATGTATACCTGTTCTTCAACGAGACAGCAGCATAACAATTACACAATACTCATCAACAGATCATTATACGGTCGTCAGCAATAGACAGATATTTGAAATATATCTAGTTCTTTATCACCTCGAGTCTACAATAGTAGTGTATACGTAAAAATCTAACACAAAAAACACTCAAAAGATTACAGACATCAAACGGTAAACTGAACATGAGTGGAGTTAAACTCCACTAATAATTCTGATGTAGACGAAACACGTGTCTGGCGTACAAACTAATAAGCCTGGTTTTACAACTTATCAAACCAAACTAATGTATTGAAAGAAATATCTTATTACTTTACCTGCTAATTCAAAATTTTGACGACTTTCAATCCAAGACAGAATAGTAAGTCATGTTCGTGTTCAATTCAATTCAATGATTAGAACAAATTGCAAATATTGTTCTTATAGTATTTATCTATATTGTATTACTAGAAAACAATTTTGATTGAGCAAATAAGCGAGAAAGGTTCTGTATATTGTTGTAAAAGGTGGGCGATTTAGAACCTGAATAGAAAATGCTTTTTGAGGGTAGGATACAGTAATAACAAATTACACAAGGCCACCTTCACAATACAAACTATTAATCTAAGAAAGAAATATGATACCATGGTCAACAGAAAAAAAAGATGGAAAAAAGAACAACTGCCCATAAAACGGGATGAAATAGATTGGGCGCCATGAACGATACCAAAAATTGGATTGTACTTAAGCTATGTGGCACTGTGTTGGTCATACTAAGTTAAAACCAGTAATATGTTGCATTTGGATCTGTAGTAAACACTGACGGGAGAACGGAATTTTGGCTACAACAAATAGAAGATTACCGTGTTCTTTTTTGACATAAACATTTCATAACGGTCATCCTCATATTCTTCAAATATTCACACGCACAGCACCATTCCGATCATTACCATACCTCAATTTATTGTACATGTAAGCAACACTCGCATTCTTATATAAATGTATTACATGTTTGTTTCATAGGAAACCGTTTATCATGATTTGCGTCCGCGCTTCATAAAACAGTCAGGTAAAATGACTTTAAGAATGTTTTATTTAATTTCCTAGCAAAGCATCACCACAACAAACGTCAATTTGATCCCCGGCGTTGTTCGAAATGAAACTGAAGTTGCAATTTTAATTCTGACGTCAATCACGTGCATCCCATGTTCTTTTGGATTACAAAGCGAAAGAAGAACTTCATATTAGAATTGATAAATGCGATCGACATGGTCACCAAGTTGAATTCTTAAGTGAAATGGTAAGCTAACAGCGAAACATGAAATTTAAAGATAATTCCAGCTTCTTTTAATTCTTCCTAAATAATCCCTCTATGATACATACCTCATACTAATAAAAGAACAAGTCGAAGGTTTGTGTTCAACAAAAAAGAACACACGTGGTTCATACAGACATTTCGAATGCTTTTTGTAAAGCATGTTCCACACTTAAAAATCTAGCATATTTAGAGAACATTTTGCTTGAATCATAGTTGTCTGTATAAAGTATTATTGGTCTATTCCTTATTTTTTCAAACTGTATTTTAAAGATAAAAATCAAGCCCGATTCTGCTCTCGTTTGGTAAACACAAAACATAAAGTTTGACTTTACATCTTTTGCGAAATAAACATTTGAATGTTACATCACGGAAAGAGATATCTTTGGTATCTTCCACCTCTCTTTTTGAATTTAAGCATTGCCCAGTGCAATCAAAATAGAAAAAAAACATAGAATGTAATGAAGCATGTACCAATTCAAAATTATAATATTCATTTTATTATAATTAGGGAATAAAGATATTACTGCCATTGAAATATGGGACGTTATTGCCAATACTTACATTTTGTAAGTAATATATATTTGTACAATTGAGAAATGTATACTTCATTTAAAGTGGACAACCTATCTTAAAAAAAAGAGAAAAGAACAATTTTAAATGAAAATAAACCCTTCTAATTTCGTGCTTCAAAAGCTTCTAGATTAACCTTCATCAGGAACGCTCAAACCGAAACATTTGAAAGCCAAGTATTTATAAGACCTAATACTAAATACACGAAGGGCTATATGACAAAACAGGACATAAAAAAATTTACTGAGGGAAAAGAAACCTTTTTTTTTAAATAATGTCTTAATTGATCAACGGTGAATTTAAGAAATTTGTTATAAATTATGCCAGGACCGAGTTGAAGCACTGACTACTGAGTTGATGATACCCTATGGGACTCACCGTCCACCGCAAGTGATACCTACCAAATGCTAGTAAATGAAAGTAACATTTTTAATTTCTTGCGTTCGAAGCGCTTTTCTGGATTTACCTTCATCAGGAACGCTCAAACTAAAAACATTTAAAAGCCAGGGGATGTATAAGACCTAAACACGTGGAGGGCTAAATTATTGAATACTTTGAGAAATATGTATAAGAATTTCAGTAATCTTTAGCTTTCGTTTTTAATGTTGAGGATTAAGAATGAGCAATGTGCATAACTTCAATGGCATACAAATTAGGTTACCTTACAGAATATGCCGACAATATCTTAAGATATTTGTGAAATATCTATAGAGTAATTTTTCGTAATGTCCAAAGGAAATTATGCAAAAAATTGTTATTCATAACAAAAAGAACATCTGAGTATTTTCCTTAAACATGCATTTACCATTTTGGTGATACAAACACTATATTATGTTACTGGCAGACTAGAGACGACAAGATTTTTCGAACGTCTCTGTTACGAGATAATATGGCATAATCTTTAATCCATACACTGTTAAATCCAGAATGCTAAAAAATAACCTTAACATGTTATTAAACTACTTAAACTTTAAAAATATAGTGCATACCTTTAAAATATGTTGAAAATCTGTATCTGCTTCATTTGCTAATAAGACTGTTTTCTGCAAAATGTAAAATATCAGAATATTAAGTATCTTATTATAAGATATTAACTTGTACTTTCTTGTGATTTCGGGTACACGCCATAGTCAAAATTAGAATTGACATCATCCTCCTCCACCAAAGAAAAAAAAAGGATCCGAAAAGCAAACAAACACAGTCGATTTTCATTCACCATTCATCCGTCCTTCTTCCATACATCCAAACATCTCATTTATCGCACGTAAAATGAATTCAGAGGAATATCAAACCAATAAGGCAGCGATAGATAGAGATTATAAACATGTCAAAGTAAACTGTTGTTGAATGATTGCGTTTGCCATTTCTTATGTAATGTATTATTGTGGGAAAAAAAGAGGCGGAAAATACAAAGGGAACATTCAAAGTCGAAAAAAACTAACAAATCAATGTCAAAATCACAAAATACAAGTAAAAGACAGACAAATCCACAAATCAAAACATTAGAATTTAAAGACTGAGCAACACGAGCCCCATCAGAAAAAACCATTGACTGTCTCTGTCAAATATATTCATAAATTGTCTCAACTCCGAGCGATTTTAAGCTTGACATACTGCATATACATTTTTTAGCTCACCAGGCCCAAATATTCAAGTGAGCTTTTCTCATCGTTTGGCATCCGTCGTCCGTCGTCGTCGTTAACTTTTACCAAAAACTTCTCCTCTGAAACTACTTGGCCAAATTTAACCAAACTTGGCCAAAATCATCATTGGGGTATCTAGTTCTAAAAATGTGTCCGATAACCCCGCCTGCTAACCAAGATGGCCGACATGACTAAAAATAGAACATAGGGGTAAAATGCAAGATTTGTCTATTTTTTTTAAAAACCGTTATAAATAGAGAAAATCTACACAAGCAGAAATGTTCAGAATGTTGAGCTCTACCAATTGTTCATTTTCGTCAAGACTGTCAGACGACTTCTTATAGGAGTTATTGCCCTCAAATGACAAATTTTACCATTTGTTTTTCATATTTGCCTATTATCTTGAAAACTATAATATATAGACAAAAACTTAAAAATGCAAAAATGACCAGCAATACAAGTTCTACAAATAAGTGTGATTGTCGAAATCTTTAGTTGACTCCTAATTAGAGTTATTGCCCTTTGATGACGATTTTTACCATTGTTTTTGAGTTTTTGCCTTATATCTTAAAAAATATAATAGATAGATAGAAACTCGAATAAGCAAAAATGACCTGCAAGACAAGATCTACAATTTTGATTATATGGAGGAAATCGTTCGACGACTCCTTATTGTCGTTGTTGCTCTTTAATGACGATGTTTACCATTTTCTTTGCTTTTTGCCTTATATGATAAAAATTATGATAGATAGATAGACACTTTAAATCACAAAAATGATCAGCAAGGCAAGATCTACTGACAAGTCAAATTTTGTTAGATATAGTTAGTAGACTGTCACTTTTTGTAGGAGTGATTGCCCTTAAAGGAGGAATGTTTTTACGCTCTTTTGTGTTTTGAGCAAAAACTAAAGAAGATAGAGAGAAACTTAGCAGATTAAATGATCAACAATACAAGATCAACAATACAAGATCAACAAAACAGAGATTTTTGTCATGAATTCTATTCTCGTCTACAATGTTGGAGAGTGTTCTTTGTTTAATATGTGCATAGACCAACGTGAGCGACACAGGCTCTTTAGAACCTCTAGTTCTTTTTTTTTACAGTCCGTTGCATGACCACCAAAGATGATATTCTTGTACCATTGTGTTACTGTTTCACTGAAGTTTATCCCATACTAAGTATCTCCTTTCATTCATAGTTTATTATATTTTCAACGGATGTTCTACGGTAAAACTACGTACTTTGGCAAGCCTTACTATTAAGCTTTATGTATTTCACATATGTTAAACAAATTTGTAAATTAATATTATTTGTTTTCTGTACAAATTTATTTATTACTTAACTATTTACAGATAATTCAAATGA